TAACACGTTGATGCTGGGAAAAACAAAAAACAAAACTTAAGCATGCTGCATTATCAATAAAAAAAACCGGGTTATTCATCAAGACTTTGCGTGCAGGGGGGAGTTGACTTCAATGTGGGCATTCATGGAAGATCAAAAGAAGAAACCAGAGGGCAGTGGCACGTTGGCCTTATTTCTGCAAGGTTTAATTGCACAAACGTGTTGCCCATTAATGTATACGAGCGACTGTTTGGAAAATGAAGTTCTTCATAAATTTCTTGCTTCTGGCAATCCTGGGTAGGCTGACCAATAAGTTGCACCTACTTGTACAAAAACAAGTGGCTAGCAGAGTCGAGGTACCGAGTACGAATGCTTCGACTTTGACCCCTAGCTCGTAGTAAGATAGGGCGCAAATAAAAGGACTTCGCATCTAAAAGCTTAAACACACATGACATGTCTTTGACTTCTACCACACCTACAGCTATAGAGCATAAGCTCTCGAAAGCAAAATAGGGAGGACTACTTGTTCGGCTTGTCATGTTGGAGAGTGGTAGGGGCAATCTTGTGCACAGAAAAGCTTTGTAGCCCTCACTGAAAGAGAAATAGTGCTGGAGAAAATGGCAAAAATATAACCTGCATGCATGATGACTTACTGGTAACCAAGCAGACATGCCTTCAAGAAAGCACAAAGCTTGTGCTTTTTTACTCTCTTTCATTGTCCTGTTTAGTTTTCAGATGAGATATAAAATAACAATGAGATGATCAGAACAAGTTACTTTTCTTTTCCAGTAAAATCATAAGCTGAAACAGAGAAAAAGAAGCTTCATAGAAACTCAAGTTCTGCCTCCTTTTTCCTTATTTGTAATGAGTGTGCATCACATTACCACTTCTTTTACCATCTTTCCAGAGTAGTATGGGAAGCAAAATGGAAGATAAAAAAAAACCAATAACAAGTGACTGTTCTTCTTTTGGTGTGTAAGATTTTTTAATTCCTTGATTTCATTTATGCTTTTTTTCACAAATGAATTGTCAGCGAATTAAACCTCTAAAAAGCTCCAGGACTCAGCAAGTGCATCCTGCAAGAAATTATGAAGGAAAATTTACTTAAGCAACCGGGATGTTTCTAGTTCTGTTTTGAAGTTCACAGACTAGGTGGTATAGAAAATACCAGTAAAAGAATGCAACAGCATTAAGAGATTAGCTTTTGTTACCTTATTAGTATGATAAGGATTGTATTGTTTTGAGCTACCAGCGGTTGCATTTGCCAACAAGGAACCGATGATGAGAAAAATATACAATCTAATAACAATATCGTGGAGTCAGAGATTATCGACAAAATGCACAAATTGCACCTATTTAGATGAGGAAAAAGGCATGGAGAGAATTAGATTAATAAATTAGGGAAGAAGTACAGCCAAATTGAGAATGGGAAAGAAAGTGAAGGACCAACCTCCATTTGGATTGTAGGTAACAGAATGCCCCCATCACTAGCAAGGCAGAGTTTCATAGCAGAGCGCCCACCTGCCAAAGTAAGGAACCAGACCATGAATAAGAATAAGAACAAGCAAGAGAGCCTTTTCAACCAAAAACTACAGTTCAGAAGAAGACAATATCTACAAAAATGTTTTCAAAAGTTACGCACAGTAAATACTCTATTCATTTGTCATACTAATAACCGATCCATGTTTTTATAGGAAAATATCAGCTTTTGGTTTGTCCTAGAGATGGCATATAGTCACCTAATAATCGCACATTTTCGAGTTAATATTCGTGTTCTTTCCACATGGACAGCACAAGAAATCATCGGAGGAACTTACGCTAACTGAGGACGACATTAAGGTTACACAAAACATCGAGCTAGAATTGGTACGGATTCCTGCAAACAGAGAATAAAAGCTTAAGTGAATTATAAGGTGAAATAGTTCTTGAAAAAGAGGTGAATTTGTAAGAATATACTATACACCATCAGATTGTTCAGGTTACCTGGGACAGCGCAGTGAACCTGCTTACTCAAACATCCTAGCAATGCTGGTGACTTGTATATCCATCCTCAAAAGAAATTGAATTCGGTGTATCCATGTAAGTGCGGCAACAGCTCTTCTACCTCAATTCTAGAATTGGAGCAACTCGTGCTTTTCTTTATTCGGCTACGATTTATAGACTCAACGTCAGCCAAAAATACCCCGCAAACTGGTCTATGATCTGAGAACCTTGACTCCCCACGGACATAAGATAACTGAGTGAGGCCCCTTCCATACCACAATATACGATCACACCTGCATTTGTATATAGCCTGATTATTTGTATGTCGGAAAATTAAAGCATATTCTATTCACGTAGTCCCGTGCAGATGTTACAAAGTTTTTATTTAAATTTTCTCCGTACCCACAAAAGGGTATTTTTTCGCTCACAATTTTCACTGAAATAAAAATCTCCTTTTTTTTTTTTCCTTGTTCAGAAGCAGAAAAAATGGAGATTACCATGCAGGAGTCCTTCGTTTCTCCTTCGGGTGCCTATCATCCCCTGCATATCTATCTGAGTTATTGGAATACTTGTATGTAGGGGGGAAATATATCTTGCCTTCATTCCATCCATCAAAAACTCGCCCTCGTCCCTGCTCTATCCGAAGCTGAAAGTAAGAATCATCAAAGGGGTCAGATCGAACCACTTTCATTGAAGAACGACAAAGTATAACAGCACATCAATGCAAACGCATCAGAGGAATATCTAAAATTTTAGGCGACATGCCTGGTCATTCTCTAACAACGCCCTCCAATTTTGCATCTCGACAAGAGTTTTCACGGCACGATAAGACAAGGCAATCCGATAATTCAAATCACCAAGCCAAATGATTCGACTGCCAAGGCAATGAAGATTTAGACAGCATGTTGATTGGCCCAAAATAAAGAGCAAACGTTCTGAAAATGAACACAGAGAATCAGTAATGCCTTACTCATGCTCTAGAATTGTTTGAGGGGAGTTTTTGTCTCCTCTGGAATGAACTCTAGGAAACCTTGTCTTCCTAAGGATCTCCATAACATCAGAGTTTCTCCGCAGCTCGTCTCCCTCCTTCTGCCCAGATGTCAAATGGCTACAGATGAAGCAAAAGCTTGTTTGGTGCAATGACATGCTAATTGAAATCGAGCCCTGGAAAACCCAAAGAAAATAAGAGTGCAACTTTTTTTCCTAGTTCATCACAATTTTGCTATCAAATTCATAAGAAGGAAAATCTACCTTGTTTCCGAGATAACCCATCAATCCTCTGCCCACACAAGACACTTTGAGATTGCGAACATCATCTCTAAGATCGTTCTTTACCCATACCGTTAGAAATACCCCAACCATTTGCTTACAGGCCACCAAACAGTAACTTGACTGGCCTGTTTGTCTATCTCTATCCTCCATTGACAAGGATCCACTGTACTCAATAGGTGGGTATTGAGTAGCACCTGGTGAATCCCCTGGTCT